GCGGTGCGAGCCGCGTTCGGCCTCTGCCCAACCCGCCGAGCCGGACGGATCGTGCGTCGACCTCGCCGGCCTCGCCGCGACACCAAACGATGCGCGCCCACAAGCAGCCCCAGCGATCCGCCACCGCCCTGCATCCGACCCGCCGCACCGCCACCGCCACCACCACTGAGGAGGCCGTCGCACCACCACCGGCACACGGCACCGCCACCACCACCACGACCGCCATCGCCAATGAGAATGACAATAGCAATAATACCCGCGGCCACTCTCAAGCCCCGCGCGGACGCGAGATGGCCAAGAGCTACTCCACCACGGACATCATCACCCAGGTACCGCGCACGCACGCACGCACGCACACGGCACACGGCACACGGCACAGACGTGCGAACGACACAGAAAAGTCTCCCTCCCTCCCATTTCCGCCAATTATTGCACGCCATATTTACCCACATTGCGGGGGGGGGTGGCGCAGATGGGAGGCAGGCCAGGACAGCGAAGGCCGCCGGCGCCCCCGCCGCTGTCGTCATCGGGAGGAGGAGGAGGAGGAGGAGAAGGGGCCAGCAGCAGCGGTGGAGGAGGCAAAAAAAGTTCGCCGTGGTCGGGGGTGAGCGAGCTCATCCGGTACTTCAAGGAGCGGGAGACCGAGGAGAAGCAGCGGCTCGACAAGGAGAAGAAGGACAAGCGGGCGGCCAAGAGGGAGGCTGCCGCCGCCGCCGCCGCCAGCAGCAGCAGCACTTCACGGAAGAGCAGGCGCATGGACATGCTGGGCATGCTCCTTCTCGACACCCCCTCCCGACGCGCCACCGACGCCTCGCTTCTCGCCACGTCGTCGTCGTCGTCATCGTCGTCGTCATCCGAGGAGAGTTCGTCGCTGCGCCGGAGCAAGCGGGGCGCGAAGGAGAAGCGGTCCAAGGAGAGCCCCAAGGACGACAAGGAGCAGCAGCAGCAGCCCACCGTCACGACCACGACGACGCCTACGACGACCGTGAGCATCAGCTGCGAAGACCAGCAGCAGCACCAGCAGAAGGAGAAGGTCGCCGCAGAGGGTCCCCAGCCTGCCGCCTCTCCCCGCGGCGGCGGCGGCGGCCTGCGGATGTCGCCGCGGGGAGCGGCGGCGGGCCTCAAGAAGGCGATCAAGGAGGGGGCCAAGCGTAGCAAGGGGGGCGGCAAGGACGCGGCCGCGTTGACGGTGGTGAGCGAGCCCGTGCCCCTCTCCTCCTCGTACGACCCTCCTCCCCCTCCTTCGTCGTCGTCGTCGGGTTATCCGCCGGTCCCTTCACCCCGCACGCCCCGCGGCACGCGCACCCACCCGGCGCCTCCCACCACGCCCCTCCCTCCCCTCCCCTCCCCCACCGCCGCCTCCACCGCCGTCTCGTCCGCTTTGCTCTCCGTCCCGGCCGGCCGCCGTCCTCCCGACTCGTCGAACCCCGCCGCCGCCGCCCCGGTCACCGCGCCTTCCTCGTCGTCATCGGCCATCGGCGGCGGCGACGACGACGACGTGGCGGAGGAGCACGCCACCGTGACTTCGCCCAGGAGCAGTGTCTCGCCCTCTTCTCCGTCGGCGGGGCGGCACGCCGGCCTGCCTTCGACGTCCGAGGACGCGGCGGCGACGTGGTCCTCGATGGAGCCGCCGGGCTTCTTTTCAGTGGGTCCCCACGCAGCAGCAGCAGCGGCGGCGGCAGC